AGCAGCCAATATCACTCTCCAACAAGTTGGATGACTGCGAAGAAAGTCTAGATATTGCTTCGCCAACCATGAATGCCTCGATTTTGGCATCCATAACTTCGTGTTATGATGAGTTTTTCTCTCCAGTTCCAGCATCTCCCTGGTGAACCATCCATAATTAACTCGCTTGGATGGGAAGACAAATGGAAAATGCCATTTTTAAAATGGAGATAAAACGTCCATTTTGAAAGATGGCGTTTTTGAAATCAAATAAAAGTTGTACTCCCGAGTAGTAGTTGTCAAGCCTCCATTCTATTCGTTCCAAATCAACATATTTTAGCCAATCAAATCTTCGCTTGGTTGAAGAATTATCCATCACATCTTCGTCTAGATTTGCTTCCACAAACACACCTTCGTCATGCGTCCCAGCACGATCAAGGCATTGTACGTCCACATTGACAAACCATCTCCTGAGTGCGGCTTGATGTAGGTACAAGGTTCTCCTCCGAGATGTGCGCAAGATGGCGGCTGCCCCTGGATTCCGCCTGCGGGAGTCGTTGGTGCCGGAACAATGGGGGCACGGCACATTGTACCCAGCGGCTCGCGACGCCACGTCCGCATCGTCGTACCTCTCCGGCGAAGAAAAGGCACGATGGACGAAGCTTCAGACTTTCTTAGGACCACAGAAAGGAGGACAAGACGTGGACTTTGTCGAGCTCGTGCGCCTCAAGTTTCGATCTGGCAATCCAACGCACTTGGACGACCTCATGTGGGCGGTGCAGGAAGTGTCCCATCAGCGCCTCTTGGCCGAATCGTCTAGTGGTAGTACTCTCTGCACCGTTCTTAAGTATCCTTACATGTAATATCTAGTCACCAAGACCGACGACGTGCTTGTCGAAGCCACGGGGCGGTACCTTCCCCAGCACTCGGACCCATCAGCCAGGCGGTTTCGTTATACGTATCGCGTCCGCGTGCTCAACGAAGGTGTCGACGCGATTCGCATCACGGGGCGGCATTACATTTTCGACCACGGCAACCAGAAGCGGGAAATTCTGCCGCGTCACTCGCCACAGGTGGTCGGCCTCACCCCCACCATCCAGCCAGGTATGAAGTAGCCCTGGCATGTGTATGTACATCGAGTCATGTGATTCACGTAGGAGAAATGTTCGAGTACGCCAGTGGAGTCGATTTGGAGACGATAGCTGGGTCCGTGCGCGGTTGTCTCCACGCAATACGCCTCCATGAGGACGGATCGGAAACCGAGTTTGATGCGATCGTGGCGCCGTTTTCACTTCAGCCGACGGTCTTGGATGCCATGATGTTGCAGTAATAACAACCATCATCAGCATATGATGCGATGTCTCCGATGGAGGGAGATGGGTGGGCATGTCGAGAATGCGTAGGCACACATGATCTATCGGAGGAGCAATGGACAAATGTCGACTTTGGCGGCACATGCGTCCTTGTAGAAGCTGGGGAGGTAGATGCTCATACCCCAGACGATGAACATGGCAAGAGCGCAGAGCAGCAAGCGGTCGCGCCATCACAGCGCATTTTCGAAAGTACCACGTTACAGTGTTATGCAACTTGAAGCAACTGGCAACGCATCCGGATAATTCCAAATTCAACAGTAACCATTGGACATAATATTAAGAATACATAATGTTGATTGGTCGAAACCGCATTATTGATTTGATTTTGCCAGCGTAACAAGCTAGCACTTCTCTTGTTTGTCATCGTGTGGGAGATGGAACGTGGCGCAGTGGATGAGTCCGTCGGCGCCCGTCGTGAGTACCGTGGACGCATTCAGCCATGCGATGCTGTGGATAAGTCCGCCGTGGGGCGTGTCGCATTGACCCACGACTCGCCATGACCGCACATCGACGACAAAGAGGGTGCTGGCCGCCACACATGCAAGGAACCCTTCCGACGCTGCGTGCAATTGGACGTGAGGGATCCATACTCCTGGTAGAACTTCCAACCTCGCGTTGCTCTCTTCTGTCCCGTCCAGGTCACACCGCCAAAGCGTCCCATCCCCAGCGGATGCAACCACTTGCCGATTGCGATGGAGACAGGCGAGCATGTACCAAGGTGGACCAGTCACGAGACGGCGGCGGGGGGTGAGCGTGACGACGTCGTACGTTTGGATGAAGCCGTCGTTGGATGCAGAAAGGACAGTCTGCTGACACTGGACCAATGCTTGGACCGTCTTGGTGTGCACTCGAAAGAAACCAAGCAGCAGCGCAGCACAAGTGGATGTGGACGTGGACAAAGGAACTCGCCACACGGACACGACGGCGTCGGCGCCGCCGCTCCAGATGGCCGTAGGGGTGATCAACATGCACGAGATGCGACTGGTGTGCTTGGAGAGGACGGCGAGGCAGAGTCCGACGTCGCACTGCCACACGCGAAGGGACGCATCTTCCGCCGCCGACACAGCCACGTTGGCGGACGGAACGAAGGCGACATGGGTGACATGACCTGCATGTCCGTCGAGCCGGCGGTGCAGCCTGAAGTCGGCGGCAGCGCGCCACAGTCCGACGGTGAAGTCGTGCGACCCCGACACGAGGAAGGTGGCGTTGAGAGCGACGGCGCAGACGACGTCGCGGTGGCCCTTGAGGACGTGATAGCAGTGGAACGACCCTCGCGACCACACGCGGAGGGTGGCGTCCATGGACGCGGACACGATGTAGCGGTCGTCGGAAGCCAGGAGCGCACATACGCCGGCGGTGTGACCGTATAGCACGCGGGTGGATGTGGGAGCAGGTGGCGGTGTAGCCGAGAAAGGCGCTTGGAGAGGGACGACTGGAGTGTGGTCGGGTGATGATGAATTGCAAAGTGTCGGTGGAGGATGGACGGACGAGCCTTGGTTTGTGGGGGATGTGGTGGATGTGCTGTCTTCCTTGGATCCTTGTGGTGGCAGATGTCGCTTTAGACTTCGGTGGCCGCGCGGAGACACCGCCGTCGGCTTGTTCCATCGCAGCGGGTTCACTCCGAACCACATCAAGCGAGCATGGCAGTTACATCTGCCGAGGAAACGTCGACTTCACACTTGCACGAGCATGCAGCATGTCTTATGTTTTTACCATGCTCCTCGAGCTTGGTTCATCCGTCCATGGCACAGTCGCATCGGCCTCTGGCGAAATCAAGCAGTGTGTATCCACGACCGCCACTGATAGTGGTTTTACAGGTTATATCCATCGGAAAACGCGTTATATACTGCTTATTCGCTAGAAACGTCCAAAATTCGCGTGGTTTGTCGTAACAATATTAAATCACGCTGGAGTTCTGATTGGTTGAATATACATTTCCTTTCTGCAAGAGCCAATCAAATTCACTCAAAATTGGATTAGCCAATAGCGTCGATTCGTGATTCGATTCGGCGGCGACATTCGATTCGACGGAGTCTGGAAATTTATACCGAATCCACAATACTTTAAAACCATGGCAAGAACGACGGTGGCGACCGGCCAGCCGCACTTCTGCGCTACCTGCGGCAAGTTTGGCGCGTCCTTCTCCATCTCGCGCTCGGGACTCCTCTACTTCTGCTCCAAGGAATGCATGAGACGCCGCCACCCGGGGCGTAACAGCTCAACCACGATGGGCGGGCTCAACCCGAGTACGTCACTCCCCGTGTGACTCACCACCTTCATGAACATCCTGTGTAGTCTGCGAAATTGAATCCACACCAATGCCACAACCCACTACATCATCCTGCACATTGTGCTCACTCGGCGGCGGCACCCGACTCGACACGAGTACAACCGCCGCCGCGGACGACGCATGCATCGTGTCGACCTGTCCATGCGGCAACCTCGTGGGATTCTGGGTCTAAAGCACATCACTTCGATACGGACTAGTTCTATTAAATTACAAGTATAATTTATGACCATAGACTATGGGGTCGATGGAATCACAGCTTCGTGTTGGAGTTGCCGCAAGATCGAGTCGATGGCCGAGTTGAGGAACGGCGGCAAGTCGTCGTCGTCGTCGTCGTCGTCGTCGTCGCTATCGACGCCATGGAGACTTGCATCGCTCTCGAGGTGATGGAGACACTGATGACGATGTGTACGGCTGTGGAAGACGAGACAGTCCGTGGAGCAGTAATACGCATGCCCGCAATGGCCATGACACGGGATTGCCGCCTTGACACTCTTGCGGCAATGGACGCACTCGTGGACGTCGAGGGACTGCTTGAGTTGTTCGAAGAGGGCATCTTCAAAGTCATCTTCATGGAGGCTCATGCGTCGGTGGTGGCGTGCTGCGGCCATGGCAGGTTTATGAATGTGGTGGCGTACACATCGGCTCCAGCTCCATTACCAGCATGTTCCTTTCCAGGTGATATGTGGAGTGAATTTCAGTAGTATGCCAAGCCGACACCAACGAGAACTATATTTGTTTCTACAGGTTCAATTCCGTATCCAAGTATATAGGAAGGATAGGCGGTGTCATATTCATTCTTGCAGGTTTTCCACCAAAAGTTCTCAGGATGTTTACCATACCCATACAAAGTTTCATATAAGTCTTATGTTAACAACTCGCATCCATTCCACTGTCCACGAAAACCAAGTAGTACGGTCGATGCTGTCGATGGATTCCTCACTCATACTACTGAATCCAGCAAAACTTGAGACATATCGTTGCTGATGTCAGATCGGGCTGCACGGAGGCGCTTCGTCCATGAAGAGGCCCGCCGACGGGTAGGAGCGTGTACGTATATGCTCGGAAGTCATGGGGGATGGATGCGGGAACCGAGTGACGACTTTACTCTGGAGTTACTGGTCCATTCTACTTCTTAAACTGTGGATTCAGCCGTGCGCGGATAGCGTTGTTGGTGGTCTTGGACTTGGCGATCGTATATGGGGCGTCGATGGTCTCCAGCAATCGGTCGTACAAAGCCATGCCCTTGGGGCGCTTCTCGGAGCGATGTCCCCATTCGATCACGAGGTTCACGGGATGGCCTTTCTCGAGGAAGCCCACCACACGCCTCGTCTTGACGCCCTCGTCATGCGCCTCGATGTCCACCTTGTAATGGATATCCTTGTCGCCGCGCATCTTTCGCTCCGGCTCCTCTGCTTGGGCCTTCTTGGGCGGCGCACTGTGCATTCGTTTGCGAAAGTCGAACATCTTGCACACCACACGCGGCTGGCCGTTCGGTTTCTCCGAAGGTTGAAGACTCACTTGAACCAAATCCAACCCGAGAGACTTGGCTTCCCGGACGGCCGTGCGCTTGTCCACGTTCTCGCGCACTGTACCGTCCTCCAGTACGACGGTCACGCTGTGCGCGCGGATTTCTTCGTTCAGAGGGACCTTCTTCGAGCGCTGCTGGCTCATAAACCGAATGGATGTGTCCAAGGAGCATGATAGTGGTGTTAATTGGAAGGATGGACATGGACGAAGCAAGGCAGAGCGCGGGGCTGGCCGCAGCGCGGTAGCCACTCGGACCACTCGACCCCACATGCTGAACAAATGGATCGTTCAATAAGAATATAAATATTCTACATTTTGCTAATTTTCTCACAATTTCTTTCGATATATATATGTCAATTTAATCGATAAAAAGTCGAATTATTACTATATTTATGAAGAATATTGCAATATAATAAATAACCTCTGAAACCCGATTGTTATCATCAGCCCAGAGACTGCCACGAATCGAGCGGCCACGAAAGCCAGTTGCGATATCGCATGGACTTGTGGAGCGAAATTGAAAAGAACATGAAGTGGATCGCCTTGGCTGCCGTAGTGCTGTTCGCCATCTTTAGCGTCGTGTCCTCGTGGGGCGGAGGCGGCGGCGTGTCTGCCAGCGCCAGCCACATCTTGGTGAGCACCGAAGACGAGGTCGACGACCTCTTGGCGCAGCTGCTCAAGACCGACGACGGGTCGGACGCGCAGCTCAAGCTCTTTGCCGACTTGGCCAAGGCGCACAGCAAGTGCCCCAGTGGTTCTCGCGGCGGCGGGGCGTTGGGCAGCTTCGGACGTGGCCAAATGGTGCCCGAGTTCGACAAGGTCGTGTTCGAGGAAGCCGTGGGCAAGATCCACAAGGTCAAGACGCAGTTCGGATGGCACTTGGTGCTCACGACCAAGCGCACAGACCCGACCGCCGACAAGACTACTGCCGACGACCCTGCCGAGGCCGACGACAAGAAGGAGTTGTAATGAACCAATGTATTAGTCTTTTACTAGTGGCAGCATCCACACGTGCGCAGGGTACAGCTCCGTGATGAGTACCTTGGCGAACTCGTCTAGATCTCGGAGACATCGCTTTGGGTCTTGGCAAAAGGCGATGCTCCACTGCACCACCTCCTTGCGTTCGGGCATGCCTTCCATCGTCTTGATCAGCTTGAGCGTCTTCTTGGAGACGTCCAGTGGCGCGCCATAGTCGAGTCGCAGCACCGCGCTCTTGCGGGAGTTCACCCGCATAAATAAACTCAGCGCCAGCATGGCCACATGCAATTCCGCCGAATGTTTGAGCCTGCATCAATCAATCCATATATATATCAACTGTATTTGTACATCAGATATATATATATAAACGTACTTGCCAAACGAGTTCATGAAATTAAACCCCATCGCCCGCTGCACGGCGTCCAACCCGTTCGACAGCTGCCGTGCGTCGCCCATACTCCAGCACGCTTTGCTCATCTATACACAAAAAGTCACATGAAACCCCGAAACCCCCAAACCCCGAAACCCCAATCCAACTACATACCCGAGCCACCATGTCCCGCTTAAAGGTCACGGCGACCCCTGGCATGGCCAGCAGCCGCGCCAAGAGAGCCAGGATGACCCCCACGAGCTTGGCTTGGTCTGAAATGGCCGCGGCCGCCGCGATCTCTTCGACCCATTCGTTCATGCGCATGGAGAAGTGGAGCTGGCGCTGGATGTCGGCGTCGAAGTGCTGCTGCTTGGCAAATGCGAGCAGAGTGAGCCAGCACTGGTGCTTGACACTGGTGATGACCAGCTCGTCCTGGCTCAGCTCGGGCAGTTTTAGCTGGGGCCACGTACTCATGTTCCAGCAGCTCAAGTTGCGCTCGGTGAGTTGGCTGAGCACAGACACGGACGCGACAGAGACGCAAATGGCTGGCAAACTCTTGGAAATACCAGCAAATTGCCACAGCAACTGCCACCCCACGACACTCCACGGCATGCACTTGTCTAGGGATAACATGGTGCATTCTTGCGACGACGGGGGGATGGCGACGCTGACTTTGGCCTCGAGCTCCATCCAACTAGTACTACTACTAGTACTAGTACTCAACGTTGAGTCGACGACCAAACTCGCCTGGGAAATGAACGGCAAGTTGCATAGCTTAAAGATATCGCAGTAGAGTGCGGTCACGTGGTCGGCTTTAAATGTCCGGTCCAGTGTGTCGACCTGGGCGTGGAGTAGCATGACGAGGTCGAGGACAGATCGGAGCGCCGCCTGGACTAGTCCCAGCATGGTCGATTCGAATGCGGGAAAGTTCTGCTTCCAGTCGGGGGATAACGGGTGCAGAAACACACTCAAGCAGTGCAGCACGGCGGCAGCTTTCTTGAGCTCATCGCCCGACGCGGTCCCGTTGGTCAGTTGGAGGCCGCAGAGGCTCAGAAGGAGCCCAAAGGTCGCGTAAAAGCGGGGGCTGGCGTCCGTCCGCGGGGGAACGCACAGCACGGACGGGTGCAGCAGCAGCGCCGACACGCCGTTGCAGATGGCTTCGACTTCGGCCACTTTGACAGGGCGGGGCAGCGGATAACTTTTCTGCGGTGGCGATGATGAGGGGGTATCTACCAGTAGCAGCACATGGCACAGCAGGACGTGATACTTGATGTAAAACGAAGACATGACGTGCGGCGGCTGGTCCGCCAGGTGCGCGGCGATGCGGCTCCACGGCACTTGAGCCAGGATGGTCTGCACGAGTAGTAGCACATTTGGCCGCAGAGGCGACTGGTACTTGAAGTTCGCGGACTTGGTTGCTGTCGTCGTCTGGACGGATGGCACGACCCCTTCCTTCATCTCGTTGAGCGTGTCCTCTGAAATGCCCCACAGCGACCACGGCAGACGACTTAGCACTGCATTGTACGACCCAGCTAACGCATCCGATGCGTGGGGTAGTAGTACCCGTCGATAAAACTGCCAAATGTTGTCCAATCTGGCACTCGCATCGACATCTGGCGGCAGGTCCAGGTATAATGTGAACGTGGCTTGCAAGGCGTGGCAAAGTACTTGATCGGCTGATTCTTCAGTGGGTGGCCACGGTTCTACGATGGTTGTTGCATCGGGGGTCGGCCCAGGAGTGTACAGCACCTACACAATAGATATATTTATATATAAATATATATATTGTCAAGTCGATTATTCGAAATTCGAGTGCGGTGGTGCTCAATCGAATGAGCCGAAAAATAGGCAGACAATCAATATATATATATATATATATATATACGACCAATCAAAACTCACGAATCAAGTGGCCAATCCAATCCATTCTCTTCGACAAAGGCAATATAGAATTAGTGTGTGACTCCAATTAGTGTGATACTAGACGATCTTTATATACCAAAGTCAGAACAAAGAATCGATCGATCGATCGATCGATAGATTTGGCAAAGAATCAGCACAAAAGTCGACCAAATGTTGTGTAAATGGACACTATCAAACTATATATATATATAGTTTGATAGTGTCCATTTACACAATATATATATATATATATATATATATCCCAAGCAGTAATACAACGAGAAACAAACTGTACATACCGTCAAGAACGCTTCAAATAACTTGGTCGCGATGGGCCATAGAGTGTCGGGGGGGGACGCTTTGATCCACAGCAGCATAAGATCACACAAGGGTTGGAGGATCGCTTGGTCCGAGTGCCACGTCACGATCGGGTACGCCGCCGACGACGTGATTAACAAGGCTGAGATGTCCTTGACTTGCTTAGCTTGGCTGGCTTTGGTTCGGGCGTGGAGGACAAACTGGGCCACGCGGTCTACGAGTTGCGGCACAACTTTGCAGCGACTCCAGCAACTCGGGGGGATATTAAGCAGCGCGTGCCACATGGACACATCCAGCGCCTTGGATGATGGCGGCGTCGTCGGCACTTCAAAGTACGACCGCATGGCGTGCAAATCTGACGCGTAGTGGACGTCATACACCCCAAGTAGGGCGCACACAATCTTGTCAACGTGGTCATCCAGGTATCGCGAAGCCAGCACATGAATCATCTTGGCGTGCATGCGCAAGATGTCTAGCTTGGCGTTGCCAAGCACGAGTTCTGCGAGAACGATACTGACCAGTGTATCTCGATCAAATAGGATCGGATCATGGTCTAGCCACAGTGCAATATCGAAGCGCGAGAGCAGCTCCAGGCGGTCCGCGGACTCGAGGTGCTCTGACTGGTACATGATGCTGGCAAAGTACTCGACGAATCGCGTGGGCGTTTGGTTGGGGAAGAAGCAGTCGGCTAACAAGCACACGCGGGCACAGTCCTGCAGCATAAAGCGCAGTAAACCGGTGGTTTCATCCGCATTGACAAATGTCGCGCCCAGTCGCTTGATACTGCGCCAAAGCACCTCTTGAAATGGCGGAAATCCCCGCGTCGCCTTGGTGTCGAGATGGAGCAGCTTGTGAAACCACTGGACGCCCATGGATTGAAACTGGTCGGGGGATTGAGTTAGAAGCGCCACCATTTGGTCGATCACGAGGATCTGGTAGCATACTTGCACGTCCAGCGGCGTCAGACCCAGGGATGTGGATCGATCGACCATCATTCCCACCGACGGAACAGTAGGAATGTCGGTCGTCCACAGGTCCAACTTGGCGCTTTGGATATGGAATTGGTCGATGCGCTCGACGCGATCTGCATCGACCGTCCACTCCGTGTACTCTAGATGGAGCGCCGCGGGGCGTTTGCACGGCTCGTGGGAAGTACCGTCGCACGGCCGGCTGGTGTGGACTACGCGGTGCTTGGGCTGGTACAATCCGTTCAAGTGGTCGAGGAATTCCGTCTCTAGAGTCGCGAGGGTCGCCACGGCGTCGGCGTACACTGTCGCCCGATCATGAAATGGCTCGGTACGGAGCTCCACCGATTGCATCGTGTCGATACTGACCACTGGCGAAAACCGCACGTACTTTGGTGCGTGAAACGGAAGCGGCGACGGACAAAGAGAAGGGGGGGGCGGCGTCGGCGGTGGCGGATCGGACGAGGACAGAGGCGCGGCGGTGGCGGGGGTTGTGTAGGCAAAATCACATAGGGGGAGCCATAGAAAAGGCGCAATGTCCTCCCAGATGGTCGTGGACGTCATGTCGATGGTATCTGCCGTGTGAAGCAGTGCATGACTCAAGCCGAGCACTTGTTTCAACTGTGCAGTGTTGTAATGGCGTGGCAAGTGGTCGATTTGGTGCAGCCACGTCGATACATCGGGGTGTTCGAGCCACGTTTCCATGGCAGCGTACGTCCGAGCCAGCTCGTCCGCCTTGCTTCGATTACCAATTTGCGCAGAGTACGCATTTGATAGGCGGCGGCACTTGGTCTGCAGCGCTTTGCGGGTATGGGGGTGCAGTTCGAGCATGAGAAAGCCAAAGCAGTCGGAGCCCACGGAGGCAAAGTAGAGCGCAAACAAGAGCTGCCACAGCAACAAGTCCACAGGGTGACTACTCTCGCGGTGTTGCAGCACGAACGACGCCACCTTGAACAGCTTGAGTGTATGCCACGAGTGGAACTGGAGGTCCAAGTGGCCGTACAGCGTCGGTTGCGAAGTGTCGATGCCAAACACGTACAACTCGGTGGCGAGGCGGCCCTTGGCTCGAAGGGTGTCGAGGCTCTTGACCTTGAGCTTGGATTTGAGCACAATATGGCCCAGCGCTTTAAACAGTTCTTTTTCTTTGCGGATTTCGACGAGGAGCGATAGGAACCCCAAGTATAGCTCCACGTTGGGGGGATGACCTCGAAACACGACCGACGACATGTAGTACGAACTGGTCGAAGGGGGGACGCAAGTAGGCACAAAACTGAGTGAACTCGTGGGGAAGACCGCGCACATGTGGTCGAGATAGAGCCGGAACGGGGCTTCAAGCTCGACCATGGCCGTGTCAGGTCGATGCACGAGCGCACATTCGATCACAGAGTCGACGAGTTGGCGGTAAACTGGCGCGTCCGACCAGTTGGGCACGCCCATGACGACCACGAGCCACACCAGTAGCACGTTGCTGTGCAAGTTTGTATGCAAGTACTGCCGCCGGATCACTTGGACCACCTCGTTCACGAACGCCGTACGGGGTTGCTGTAGCACGGCGCTCTTGAACCCGATTAGCGTCGACATGGCCGACTGCATCCACGATGGAGACGGCAACTGGCCCAGCAACGCCGGCAGCAACGCCGGATGGACGCATACACTCTGCTCCAGCGTGGATACAATCACGGGCAGAATCTGAGAGATACCGCCGGTGTCGTCGTTGGCCAACAACTGATCAACCAGTGTGGATTTCGCCAAGTCTGGTAAAAAGTACCAGTTCTTGGCCAGAACACGTACAATAGACCGCCAGTCGGCGTTGTTGTCGAGGTAGTTCTTCACGAACGTGTGCACATCCGTGTGATTGAGCGGCGTCTGCGACAGAGTTGGAAGGATGTTCTCCAGCACTTGTAGCACGGCCACGGGGCGGTTGTGGTCCAGGACGAGCGACAAGAGCGGCGCAAACTTGTCGATACAGGTAGAGTACAAATGATCCGTCACCTGACACACCACGTACAGCACAATCGGCTGCATCTCGGCCAACGGCACCACCCCATCCTCTTCTTCTTCGGGATGGACCAGCGTAGTACTAGTACTAGTAGTACTAGTAGTACTAGTCCCCGGCTCAACGTACGAGATGCAACTGTGGCTGTCCATGGCGTGCTCGGCCTTGCCCAGCACAACGTGGGACTTGGGGAGGCTCTTGGCGTACCTCCGGAGGATCATGGCGTGTCGGGTCAGATCCGAGTCGAGGCGGACGAGGGTCAAGTAGGGCTCGTACGTTCGTGGGGAGTAAAAGTGCAGTTTTAGAACGAGTTGCCAGCTCCACTGGGCAAAATCAAAGGCAACGAGGCGGCTACTCCACGTTACATTGGTCGAGTGGTGTACGGTGGCATCCACGAGTAAGAGAGCCACGTGTCGATGCACGGTTGGATGCAAAGCGAGCTGTGATTGGTCGTCCAAGTAACCCCAGTTCATTCGGTCCAGCAGCGTCCGCACGAGCTGGCTCTTGGGGTCGTGGACGTGGTCGAGCATGAGCCATGCTTGAAACACGCCCAAGTCAGCTTCAGTCGGATGCCATAACCGGATGGGCAGCTGGGGCAACACGGCCATGCCCGTGTCGTGATGACACACGAGCGTCAGCAGCTGAGACAGGGCGCAGGGGTGCGCCGTGCACACCCCCGACAGCGTGCGGACGTGCGCGTCCAAGAGCGTGTCTGGCGTGGCCATGTAGCACAGAAAGAGCTCGTGTACGATGGTTTGTACGAGCTCGCTCCACGGGGTGTGGCTAGCGAGCACGCCGAGGGCGGCCAGCAGCGCTTGATTTCGGCTCACTTCGTGGTAGAATCGAAGGCGCAGCGACGGATGGTCGTTCATAAAGCATGTGAACGGGATGTACGCTTTGAGCGCGGAGGACGGAATGGATGGCTGAAAGAAGAAGGCGGAGAGCGCATCCCATTGGCCACTGGGGCTCAGGGCGTGGTACGCCCATGACGGCAAACTTGTATACACTTTGGGGCTTCTGGCCATCACAACCCCAAACAACCCAATCTGGAACAACTGGTCAAAGAGCGACCCGTGGGAAGTCTGCGATGCCGTCACGAGGATTTTTCCCAGTGCGTCCGACACCGAAGTTACGAGCTGGTCGTAGTCGGCGAACTTTTCAAACACGACTGTGCATTCGTTCACAAGGTACAGTAGTCGGCTATAAGCGTCGTGGGGCGCCAGTGTCATGCAGTGGCTTAACGCCGTGTCGAGGGGAAATTGCCTCCACAACAGCACGTAGTCGGCGTCCAACAGGGACAATTCCCCGTGCGATGGCAGTTCCATCAGCAGCCACTCGTCTGGCGGCGGGGAAGTTTCCCCGCCAACCCCCACATCGTCGTCGGCAGCAGCGGCGTATTGCATGGGCAGCACCGCCGGGTGAAAGAGCAGATGCATCATGGCCAGAAAGTGGTCCAACGTCGCCACGGTCCACGCCGACGGGGGCGCAAAGTGCACGAACCCCACGGCCCACTGCCGCTCCAGCGCCAGCCCCGGCAGGTGCAGCAGGTGCGCGATCAGCCACGGCATCACCGCTTCGTCTTTCCCATGTTGAGCCACGTTTTTCCCATGTTGAGCCACGTTTTTCCCATGTTTAGCCACGTTTTCCCCATGTTTAGCCACGTTTTCGTCATGTGGGGTCGATGATAGTTGATGCAGTTTGGCCATGCATCGCGTGAGCCAGTGCTGGATGGACCGGCGGACTTGGGCGATGGCGGCGGTGAACTCTTTGGACGAGACTGCGATGGTTGTATGCGGGACAAACCCCAGCGCATCGCATCGGCCGCACGAGACCACTCGAACGGCCGACGACGATATGGCCGTGACGTGGCCGCACGCATGACACACGAGGCCCTTGGCCTGCTTATCCAGCACCAGCTGCCCCCGACGCACAGACGACGGCACGGTCCCCATGAAGCGCGGCGTGGTCAGATGCTTCTCGAAGAAGAAGAGCGTGTCCATGGCTGTCTGGATGCTTCCCATGTCCCCGCCCTCCACGACCACGTCCACGGCTAGTTCGACGCGGAGAAACCCCAGAGCCCGATCAAACAGATGCAGAGATGCCTCGGCCGTGCGCAACTGCCGCAGCTGACCCAAAGCATCGGCGAGATTGGCTTGGAGCTGTGGGTTTAAGCTGGCAGTTTGGTACTCGACAGACTCGTCGATGGTTTTCAAGTCCCCACACAGTGCCGACGTGGATGCCGACTCAAAGTCAATCGTCCACACTACACAATCAACAGTGGTGAATATATATATATATATATCAGGGAATATATATATATATGTGAATATGGAGGCAGGAGGAAACATAGGACTGACTATAGATCACTATATAGTAGCAGGAGATATATATATAGAAAAGTCGATCGTTGGAATAGCAACAGTAGATGAGCATATATATATATATATATATATAATAGATATATACTAGTACGTAGTCAGGTTTATGAATAAATAAACAAATTATGAGATATATAGAAAAGTCTATATATATAGAAAAGTCGATCGTTGGAATATCAACAGTAGATGAGCATATATATATATTTATATATAATAGATATATACTAGTACGTAGTCAGGTTTACGAATAAATTATGAGATATATAGAAAAGTCACGAGTCCATTAGCGTTATGACATTTATATGCAAAATATATCTACCAAGATATATATATATCTAGGCGGTAGAAGCATATAGATAAATATATTCGAAAAGGAAACAAGTCATAGTACCGTTGGCGCGGCGCTCGTCGACGTCGGCGATCCGCTGGAGCAGCTGGACATGGGCCTGGCGCAATGCATGGTCAAAGTGGAGGTAGGCTTCCACGAGGCGGTAGAAATCGTCCGGAGCGGTCTCGATGGCGCGCGACCGTTCCTCATAGTGGCGGAGCGAGAGGTCGCGAAGATGGACGTGGTCGTCGTAGTGTTCGAAGCGCCGCAAGGGGACGCGCGGGACCTCTTGGAGAGGCAGGAGCGGCCGTTCCATGTACGGCTGAGGGGCGACGACGCGATGGGATTGCGGAAGCACGATGGGCTTGAGTTGCGCGAGGACGGGGTACACTGGCGCGGTGAGGTGCAAGCGGGACGACTTGGACGGCGCGAGGAGGTCGGCGACGGACGATATCGTCACGGACGCGGGCGGAAGCGTGTACTTTCTCTCGACAGGGGGTACTTGGGTCTCGAGAAAGGACGGCGACGAGTCGGGGGATTGGCCATTGAGCTGGACAGGCGCGGTGGCCGTCTCGGACGACGACGGTGGGTTCTCGCCCGTCAATGAGAACTCGTCCGGCTGTCGCATGTGATTCGGGTCCATCGACATCAGAGGTGTCATGGGGCTGCCCATCATGATGGCTTCCCAGTGATCGAGTTGCTCGTTGTGTTTGCTGTCTCGAAGGATGTCAATTTCTGGCGCGCTCGGAGTCACTGGACTCTGCCCGTTGAAGTTCTCCATGAGCAGCAAGTCGTCGGGCGAAACGTGGATCTTGATGGGACTTGTCTCGTGTGCGATGCCTCCTTCCTGCATGTTGGAGGATGTTCCGCCATTGCCACGGTAGGGTGCGCCGCTCGCCACCAACGGATGGTCGGTCAGTTCTTGGTGGGTTCGCTGCTTTGGCTTGGCCTTCTTCCGCACAAGAGTTGCCATGGTGATTACGATGAAAACGTGCGAGAATGCAGAACAGTTTCCAGGGCATTGGTCTGATTTATTTTATTATCTTGGAAAGAGTAACGATAGTGTTCATTTTAATACTTTGTTTACACAGTTTGGAGCCGCGACCTACATTCCAACGGTGGTAGATCTCTACAGAGAAGCCGCCGCTCATGGCACTTGGCCGTGGCTATCAAGGAGTCGACGCATCCTCCAGATTCGTAGGCGAAGGGCGCTGCATGCTCGCAGCATGGAGAGCCCTTCGTGTCCGCGGGAGCCCGTATCTATAGACTCCCATAGAATCCACCAACGAAGAGCTTGCCATCACCAAGGACTCGTCCATGCAGCTCCACTGTACCGGAGACCCTCCGGTAGCTCCTCGCTCCATGTCAGTGTTGCCCTATGGCGCTTACCTCCGTCCCCCCGTGCATTCAAGCATAAGTACTGATACCGCCATGTAACCGCTGTGAAACGGTCTCGGACAAGTTGTTTGCAATGGGATAGCATGGACGCGTTTATATGGCAGCGCGGGAAACTCATCGGTCGGGGTCGATACGGCAAGGTGTACGTCGGCATCTTGCTCTCGACGTACGTGCATCCCTTGCACGCATGTCCGTCTGACATGTCGTGTAGCGCCACGATGATGGCCGTGAAACAAGTGCGCGTGCGGGACGAGAGCGGTCTGGACGAGATCGAAGGAACGTTCGTGCCCGTGGAAGAGGAGTCCATCGAGAGCATCATGGAGGAAGTCCGCATCGGTCGATCGCTGTACCATCCGCATGTGGTCGAGTACTACGGCGCTGGTACTCACTGCACCCTGGTCCAACCTCCATTTCTCATAGTGGTGATTCCATAGAACAAGACGGCAACATCTTCAACCTCTTCATGGAGTATCTCCCCCTCGGTTCCATCAGCGGGTATCTCCTTCTTCCTCTCCATGCTTACTTATCATTCTCACATGTAGACTGCTCAAGGGATTTGGACCGTTGGATGAGTCCATGGTGGCTGCGTATACGTACCAACTGCTCCAGGGGTTGGTCTACCTCCACAGTCGCGGCATCGCCCATCGAGACCTCAAATGCGCCAACTTGTTGCTGTCCGACTCGGGGTGCTTGAAGATCGCCGACTTTGGCGCCGCCAAAGAGTCGTCGTCCCATGCCATTCCATCGACGCATACTCGTACGAGTATCCAAGACGAAGGGTTTCACCACAGGTACATACACTCATGACCTACATTTTGTCCTTTGAATAACATTCCTTCGTTTTACAAACATTCCTCGTTTTTTTAATTCTATTCTTTGCCGCTTTCTTTTCAAAAGAGACGGAAACCCCGAAACCCCTGTATACTAATAGTTCGTCGCATCATGGGGGGGTGGGGTACATACACTCATGACCTACATTCTGTACTTTGAATAGCATTCCATCGTTGTACAAACATTCCTCGTTTTTTTTAATTCTATTCTTTGCATCTTTCTTTTAAGACAGGTATACTACTAGTTCGTCGCAAGATGGGGGGGTGGGGTCTCCATATTGGATGTCACCCGAGATCATCCGCGCGGACGGCCGCGGCAGCGACGGCTGGACCAAGTCGGACATATGGAGCGTCGGGTGCTGCGTGATTGAAATGGCCACTGGCACGCCTCCTTGGGTACAACATACATACATTCAATACTGTTATATGGTCATCATGGCTGCATGTCAGAGCAACTTTTCGAATCCGTTGACGGCCATGTTCCATATTGCGTCCGACACGGCGATTCCTGAGATACCGCCGCACGTGTCGCATGCTGCCCGTGCGTTTCTCACGCAGTGTTTCATCAAAGATCCGAGTGTTCGTCCCACGGCCGAGTCGTTGCTAAGCAACTCGTTCTTTGCATCGGTGCCCCCATTCGGACCCCATTACAGGTGGTTCAATGACATGACCAAGCCATTAGATGGCGGGTCCTGGTGGTTGGATCAACACATGCAAGTGTGGACGTATGGCGTTCGGGGCATCGGGGGGTGGTGGCTCACGACTGAGGACGACGGAACATGGACGTGGCAGCCAGACATGTCGGCCGTTGCGGTAGAAATTGCTACGTATTGGCTGTCCATGGCTCGGCAAGTCGTCCATAGAAACCCCGAAACTCCGAAACCCCGAAACCCCGAATGCCCACCTTGGCGCACGGTGCGAGTAGTGGCCGACTACATCGCGGCAGACGACACGGAGCTCAGTTTGGCCGTGAACGACCTACTGGTAGTCAAGGACATGGACGAGAGTGGATGGTGGCTCGGCACCGACAGTCGCGGCGGCGGCGACGGCTGGTTCCCCTGCACATACGTCGAGTGGGTGGACGGACCAAGTGCGGAGACTGGGCTGGGGGTGGTGCGGGCACTGGGAGAGTACGAGCCCACGACGGACGGAGAGCTGCGTCTGACGGATCAGGACCTGGTTTTGGTGCTGGAGGCCCCGCCGGACGGATGGTGGCGCGGCCGCCTTGTCGTTGAGAGGGGGGAAGCGGACGGATGGTTCCCGTGTACGTACGTCGAGTGGCTGCCGATGGTGGTAGCGACATGGACGTCTTCCAAGGAGGACGACGACGGGGGGGGGCTGAAGGTGCAGAGAGGCGATCGAGTCGCCGTCGTGACTGCCGACGATGAAAATGGATGGACGTTGGGGCTGGACCTGTCGAATGGCCAACAAGGATGGTTCCCCACATCTTATTTGACTCCCCCCCTCACGCTAAAACAACAAGAAGACAGCGAAGAAGAAGAAGAAGAGTATGTGGTCGAGTATCTAGACGTGTGATTCTACTAAGTATATTTATAAGCGATGTTGCTCGAGTTGAGCCACCTCCAGCAACTGTGCGACGATCTCGTCGTTGGAAGACCCCATGAGGTTGTCGTCACCCTGGCGGCTGTCGGTGTAATGCACTGCGGTCAAGTATGGCCGCGATGGGGCAAATTGCATCAGCCCCAGCATGACTAGAATACCCAATATAGCACCCAAAAAAGGCGAACAGAATGGAGAGGATATATATATATACCTTGGCGAGCCAGCCACGCGTCGGTGGCGGCGTACTCGACCTGGTCGTTCGTGAGCAACGGCGCCTCCCAGTTGGATGTTTGCATGGCTTTGGAGATCTGGAGATGCTGCCAGATCATCCCGAGGGCCCGGAGGTTGGGCTTCAGACATCCGATCTTGGTAGCTACTGGCAATGTGTCGACTGTGTTGACCACATGCGACGCCACGCGGCACTCGCGCAGCGATTTGAAGTCGAACGCACATCCGTGGCCGACCTTGATCGTGTCCTTGTTGGCTAGGACGTGCTGTAGCCCGGGAAACGTCAGGTTGGGATCTACTTAGGCGTTGCTTAGCAATGGCGAACATGTATGGAGCAGTAGATGGGGCGTACTCCACGCGCCACTCCATCGTACGCGGTACAGCAACGCCGTGTCGTGGCTCGCCAGCTGCACCAACGCAATGGGGCTGCTCGCGTAGTTCCGAAACAAACTCGGCTTGGTCTCGCAGTCGATGCCCACCACACGCATGCTTTCCAGTGCCGCACGATGCTGCAGCTCCTCTTCCGCCGTCGACACGACATGGATCGCCCCAGGGAAGACGCCTACGGGTACCTTGTCTTCGTAATCCACCATGGACTTGTCGCCGAAGTGTAGCAGCGCAGCACTGTTCGGTCGGAAGATGGGCTGCGCGAGGTACTCTGGCGTCAACGTACGCTCGCTCTTCTTGGCCATGATCTTCTCCCACCGTTTCACTTCCCGCGCCGAAGGTTCTCGCGGACCGCCGCGCTGCTTGTCTTCGAAAGCGGCGAGGTGTGCATTCATGCGATTCAAGGTCTTCTTGCCAAACTGCGAGTTCAATGAGATGCCGTCATCTTCGTACGCATTGCCTTGCCGTCGGCCAGACGACCGTCGGCTGGAGAAGCGGCGGAAGCCACGAGGGACCATCGCCGACTTCATGTTGTTCAACTCGGTGGTGATCGTGGTTCGGTGGCTTCGAACTTCGATATTCGAAGCTAAGAACGTGTTTGATTGGTGCGTTTTCGAAGAAACGTTTCGGACGTCTTGTAAATTAGAATCTCCCTTCCGTCAAAAATCACATCAATTTTACTCAAATTGTAGTAGTAATTTAATTGCTGAAAAATATTTATCCTCCGGATACCACATTTTTCCGGTTACGAGAGGGGGGTGTTTCGATTTCTGCATTTCAGCCAATGAGATTGCAGGGAATCCAATATGTGCATTCAGTATGCCTCATTTCTTTCCTTGGTCGTGATCTTCCATGTCTAGCGTCCGCACAGTGAACCCGAATGCCGAAGTCGTGGCGCGCTCCCAAGCTCTCTTGGTGAACGTCAGCGCCGCCCGCGGACTCCAAGGCGTGCTCAAGTCCAACTTGGGACCCCGAGGCACCCTGAAGATGCTTGTCGGAGGTGCCGGACAGATTAAACTGACCAAGGACGGGAACGTCCTCCTTCATGAAATGCAGATCCAACACCCCACCGCGGCCGTGATTGCCCGCGCGGCCACTGCCCAAGACGATATCACAGGGGACGGAACCACCTCGAGCGTGCTCTTCACTGGGGAGTTGCTCAAGCAAGCAGAGCGATTCCTCTCCGATGGACTGCACCCTCGCATCCTCGCCGAAGGGTTTGAATTGGCCCGCGAAGAAGCCCTCCGTGTCTTAGACAACATCAAGGTACGTCCTTTCCCATGTTTCATTCACCTCATTATCGTTTTTGGCTCGCAGGTCGACAAGCCCGACGTGTTGCAAGACCGCGAACTGTTGACCAGCGTGGCCCGCACATCCCTGCGCACCAAGTTGGACCAGCAGTTGGCCGACCAGTTGACCGAGATCGTCACGGACGCCGTCTTGACCATTGCGACGCCCGGTCGCCCCGTCGACTTGCACATGATCGAGATTATGCATGTATGTCGGTCGTGTGCCCATATCATGTTGCTTGGTTCCCACGTGCATGTGTGTAGATGGTCCACCAAAGCGCGGCCGACACCCGTCTGATCAAGGGTCTGGTGCTGGACCATGGGTCACGCCACCCCGACATGCCGTCTGAGCTCGAAAACTGCTTCATCATGACGTGCAACGTGTCGCTCGAGTACGAGAAGAGCGAAGTGAACTCGGGTTTCTTCTACAACAGCGCCGACCAGCGCGAGAAGATGGTCGAGGCCGAGCGCAAGTTTACCGACGACAAAGTCAAGCAGATCATCGAGCTCAAGCGCCATGTGTGCACGGACGAGAACAAGGCGAGCTTTGTGATCATCAACCAGAAGGGCATCGACCCCCTGAGTCTGGACATGCTGGCCAAGGAAGGCATCCTCGCCCTGCGCCGCGCCAAGCGCCGCAACATGGAGCGTCTGACGCTCGCGTGCGGCGGCATGGCCATCAACTCGACGGATGACATGGACGTCAACATGCTCGGGTGGGCCGGCAAAGTGTACGAGCAAACCCTGGGCGAAGACAACTACACGTTCGTCGAGGACGTGCGCCACCCCCAGTCGTGCTCGATTTTGATCAAGGGTACTTTTGTCTATTTTCCCCAATTTTGGCTGATTTTGGTCCATTTTCCCCAAATTTGGCTGATTTTGGTCTATTTTCCCCAAATTTGGCTGATTGATATATATTCGCCAAATCTATCAATTGTTTGTATTGGCTCTTGTATGGAAAGAGATCGTCGATTGGTGTCACTGGGAATCGAAGCGTGGATTTGATTGGCTCCTTGATTCATAAGCTGGGGTTTTGATTGGTCGAAATATATATATCGATTGTCTATCGACCGAGTGAACAATACTATTACTACCTACTTTTACTTGTTTAGTATATATACTGCCTCCAACCTTGTGTACTAATGGCTGGCGGCGGTAGGGCCAAACGAGCACACAATTGCGCAGATCAAGGACGCCGTCCGCGACGGCATCCGCGCCGTCAACAACACGATTGAAGACGGGAGCGTCGTACCCGGCGGCGGCGCGTTCGAACTGGCCGCGCACCGAGCGCTGTACGCGTTCAAGGACACGATCAGCGGCCGCGCCAAGCTGGGCGTGCAGGCGTTCGCGGATGCTTTGCTGATCATCCCCAAAGTGTTGGCCGAAAACTCTGGGCTGGACGTGCAAGATGCGCTGCTGGCGTGCTTGGAGGAAGGCGCGGCGTCGGGCGAGGCCGTGGGGCTGGATCTGTTCAGTGGCCAGCCCATGCTGCCGCTGCAGGAAGGAATTATCGACAACTACCGCGTCAAGCGCCAGTTTATTCACTTGGCCACGGCGCTGGCGTCCCAGCTGCTCCTCGTGGACGAAGTGATGCGGGCAGGACGGCAAATGGGCAAGAGCCAGCAGCCAGACGCCGGCCAAGACGAGTAGATACGAACCAAACATATCGGATAGTAATATTGTCCTTTTACCCCAAATTTGGCCGACTTTTGGCTCATTCGCCAAATCTATGCATCTAACGATCCCATTGGTTGTCATATCATGGACGAAAAGAGGATTTGATTGGCCCCTGGAGTATTGTTCTGGGTTTTGATTGGTCGATAAATTATGTGTCTGCCGAATCAATCGATTGAGCACCCCCACACTCCAATTCCGAAACGCCGAAACCACTGTTTAGGATTACTGGTACATGACGTAGCCAGCGTCACTTCCAAGGGTGTTTGGCCTTTGTGTATAGCCGAGGTCGCTCGGTGGGACTCGCAGGACGCCGGCCAGGGGGTTCGCTGGCTCTAGCACCAGACGAACAAGAGGCTCATCTCCCCCACAGTCAGCAGGCGGCGGTTGGTCTGTTGTTGTTTGCTAGAAGTGAGTCTTCAAAGGTGATCGAGTCAGCGACACGAGCAGAACGTGCCGAGGTGCATCGAAGAGACAACCTCCCTAGACCAGTGATGCTGAAGAGTCCAACGAAGCCGAGCGACCGCCTCTGCCCTGCGCCAGGTTTGGGTAATACTAGCTACAGTAGGGCCCAAAGCACGACGGAGCACTAGGGATGGCCGCAGAGGACAGCGTGAAGTTGGACGCGGTGTCTGCCAGGTACAGCAGTGTGTACCTGGTGCGGGGATCACATGCAATCACGGCGTACGACACGACCTGGAACACGACTCGACCATCGTGTTGAGGAGATGTCGAGTGCTTGCTTCCCTTGGCGCACTCCACCGATACAAAATTGAATGCGATGAAGACTACATAGCACGTGGTCGAACCCGTTGGTGAGATTTGAGAGCCTGCAGAACAGCATGAGCTTCGTCTGTCCGCGACTGATCACTCCACCACTTGGAGCGATGCAAGTGGCCTTGGAGTGGCCAAGTCAGACACAATCCAATGCACCAATATGCAGGACGGACATGCACGTGTAGCACATTTATGTCGTACACCTTTGCAGCTGTGATGTCTGGCGGCCAGATATAGCACAATGATCTCCCACACAAGGGTTGCGACGTGGAAGGCACCAACCACCACACGTAACGCAGGGTTCCATCTATTATGGGGCTTGGATGGCGCCCGACCAAGCGCGACCACTGCAGCCAGCGGGTATTCGTCATACATCATCAGGGATAAGTGTACGACATGAAACTGTTCGTATCTGAATTTGACCGGATGTTTCATTTTTCCGGATACTGGTTCAACGTTCCATGGAATTGATAGAGATCAGATAGAGATCGATGGCCGACGTCACGACGCCGCATCGGCGGTCGCCTAAATCTCACAACATGATGAAGAACATGTTCCGGGAGAGCGACGACGAGAGCAGCAGCAGTGATGACGAAGACGACGAGGAAGACGGCGACCCACGAGACAAGGAAGGGCTGTCCGCCGTTCCCCCACATGCCGACAACGACGACACCATGGCTTACACTGGCCTCTGTCATGATTTCCAAGTGGTCCTTCGGCAAGATCGTAAGAAAGGGATCGCCCATCAACTGTGGCCAGCTGCCACGTTCCTTTCGCATTACCTCGAGCAACACGTCGAGACGTTGCTTCCTCCTGGCACGAGCGTCCTGGAACTTGGCGCGGGCATCGGCCTCTGCGGCCTCGTGTGCTACAAGCTGCATGCGACGTCGGTGGTGCTCACAGACTTGCCGGTAGCCATGTCACTACTCGATACGAACGTCCTCCTCAATGCAGTTGAACCCGGCGAGCAAATCCCGTCAACCAAGCAGAGTGTGCGACCGATGGTGCTGAGTTGGGGAAGCGAGAGCGAGTTGGCGGCAGTGCTGGCGACCATGGACAAGTCAAGTCAGTGGGTATGTGTGGCGGCGGACTGCGTCTACTGGGAAGCCTTGTTCGAGCCGTTCTTCCACACCGTGCGGGCGCTGGTCGTGGACCACCATGTGGACGTGATCCTCGCGCATGTGAAGCGATGGAAAAAGGACGAGCGCTTCTTCAAGATGTGTCGCAAGCACATGCAAGTGATCCAACTCGTGGAGGACGTATCCCTGGAGCTGCAAGAGCACACGCAGGACCACCATCGAGTGATCAAGCGCATCTACCGACTCACCGCCAAAGTGTAGAAAATCCTCGACCGACTACTTCGTGTGGAAATTGATGTCAAGTATTTGAAGCCGCCTTATCCGGATGTCATTCTTGTTACGCACCTGCAATGCAACTCCCTTGATTTAGTGACTGTGTGTATTGAAAAGCATTGCTGGTTCATACGTTGATGGTCGTTGTCATTCGGTTGAAATCTTACATATGTCGTTATAGTCAGGGACCTGAAGGTAGTCTGTGTCTCGTTCGACGACAGTAATTGGGATTTGGGTCGAAATAAAACGTACATACGACACGTTAAAGACAACTTCCACCATAACCGAACGCATTTGACAAAATGGCAACGTTGGTCGTCGACCCGCCTCCATCGACGGGCACCACTACCGCTGCACCGGCGCCATTCCCGCTGGCACCATCATCCGCAGCCCCAGGAGCATCCACATCATTGGTACAAACCACTCCAACTCCAACCAAGAATTCGTCGAAGCCACCGCCGACGACAAGTGCAGCCCCAGGAGCGTCGCCGCCGCCGCAGAGCCAATCCCAAGGTGGAATGGAGGCGCCAGTCCTCCCTACCTGCAACATCTTCACGATTCCGTCACCCGTTCCTTTAAACTCGTCGACAACCCGAGCCATCGCAACCTGTGACAAAGCACTGATGGTGCAATGTCCTGTTGACGTCGCTGCATGCCAGTTCAGTCCGTCCGCGAAACCTGCTCAGCAATGGACCGACGAATCGCCTTCCACAGTCCACGAATCCGTCTGCTACAGCGCTAACAACACAACCAACTACATCCTCAACTGCATCGCGCTCGTCCCCACCGCTCCGACTGCACTCATCGCATCTTTTCCGCCAGAAACGACGACGAATGAGTCGTCATCTCCTTCTTCGGCTTCCGTCGGCCCCATCGTCGGCGGCATCATCGCTGGCAGTCTTGTGATCCTCCTGGGTCTGCTCTTCTTTCGACGCCGCCGCAACAACCCTGCCGCTTCCTCATCTAATGATCATCGCAGAAGTCCCATGTATAGCCCCCCGATGCCGCCTCGCTCCCAGCCATCACGTCCACCACCATCACAGACGGGGTTGGACTACTCCAACGTCCAGCACTTGCACAGGTACTTGGCGACTCATCCCAAGTTGAAGTCCATCTGGATGCATGACGTGGCATCGTGTCATCCAAAGCTCAAAACGGCGCCGCTCAAAGGCGCCGAAAGCAACCACGTCATAGCCACGGTACTCCGTCGCAAGATCGTCCTCAAGGGCATGGCGTACCTGGACGCGACGCCGTCCACCCGCCGCGCGTTCGTGGAAGGACTTGTGGCTGTCCATGGGATGTCGCTTTGTCATAAACACCTCACGACCCTGCATGGGATGACTCTGGTGGACACGACCGACGGCGTGCTTCTCTGCGCCGCCACCGACTTCATGGACCAGGGTTCCATCGGATCCCTTCTTCTGAATCCAAAGACGGCGCTGGATCGCCGCCAGCTCGCCGCCATCGCCGTCGCCATCGCGGAAGCCGTCACGTACCTCCATGACGAGCACGGGGTTGCCTTCGGCATTCTCGCCCCGGACAAAGTCCTCGTCGATGGATCGCTCGTCAAGTTGAATGTCCTCACGCTTCTCTACCCGTACTACCACGGCATTCGCACGACCAACTTGCTCAGCAACGCCGGGTCGTCGCTGCACCTCCAGTTCATGGCTCCAGAACTCCGGAAAATACACGGCAAGTTCACGCCCGAGGCAGACGTGTACGCGTTGGCTGTCATGCTGGGCTTTGTGTTCACCAGAACGTTGCCGTATGCTGACTTGTATCATGACAAGGGACTAGTGCGAGGTGATCTGCATCTACTAGAGTACCCCGACACGGCGCCATACGACTTGGAGCTGGTACCTGACGCGTTAAGACCCACAATGCGAAGGGCGCTGCAGGTCGACCCCAGTCGCCGACCGACGGCGTCCCAACTTCTGCGGGCTCTGGCAGCCTTGCCGCTGTAATGGTCAACGAGTTCTGCCTAAGATACAGGAGCACCGTACATGTGGCAAGGACGTATGTAGTATGGAGCGCAACATCCGTTACCTGGTGCTGCGCTCTCTCTCGCACGTATTTGGTTACTTCCTTCCCATCTACCCCTCGATTTCGCTTTCCCAATTGCCACATTTGATTCTCTGAACTGTAGTCAGGTTGGCATACAAAAGTCCACAATATGGTGCCCACACAGAAAATTAATATTCAGGGTTTCGATCAAGTAAACTTGATTTTTGTATGGAAAGGAATATTATTTTGACGATTGTTGTCTATTTCAATCCGGTACAAATGTAAGGACCTATATTCAAATAATTTATGCAAAATTGAACTTGGTTCGAGTAAGATTCAATCATGAATCTCGTAGAGCTGGAATACGATACAAACGATGAGATAATAATATCTTTTCAAGTCAAAATATATGCGACTACTTCTTGGAATGGTAGGAGCATATCTCCACGTTTTGGTTCAAGGTTTCTTCATTGTCAGTAGGATGATGCATCTCCGCGTCCAAACAGTGGCTGCCGCGGCTTTCATGCTTTCTTCCGCGCATGCTGCGGACGAGAATCGTACGTCTCCACCCCATGGCATCTTCATCACAATCTCACCTGCATGTCGTAGCGACGATCACATCCCCGCGGATTGCGGACTCGCAACGACCGCTGTGTGCAGTGCTGTGCTCGACCAGCATCGACAGCGACGACCCGAACCTGTGCACGTCCATCAACGTGACATGGGGAGGAGAATCGCAATGCTCATCCTTCTACGCGATATGTCCCGCGAACGCAACGTCGTGCATCCTTCGTACGACGGGACCGCAGCCGTCTACATTGTCCGGCCACATTAACACCACCACCTTTGCCTCATGCGGCCTGCCCCGTAACTCCTCCAAGCTCAGTCAAACCCTCCAATGTTCCAACTCTTCTTTCATCGTCGCGCCCCCTCTGCCAGTATCAACGGCCCAACAGCTTCCATCGACCACTGAAACGATCAGCTACACTTCCCGCGCAGCCACCACGACCCCGCCGCCGCCGTCTCACTCCGACTCGTCGCTCGCTTCGTCGACCATATCGTTGCTCAGTCTCTTAGGCGGATTCCTTGTTGTCGCATTCGTGTCCTTTGTCATCGTTCGCCATCGCCACCGCCGCCGCCGCCGCGATCCCTCGACCAAGGGCCCCGCCGCGCACGACGACATCCTCGACGACGACAATGCATACATGGCGATGTCCCCCAAGCCACTCCTTCCCCCACGAGCAATTCCTTCAGACGAGCAAGTCCTCTCCCCAACGTCGCCGACCTTTCTCGAGTACTTGGACTCGGTCGACGCTTTCCGATCGTTATGGCTCTCCATGAACGCCGTCCGACTGGTACCTGTGAAAGGCACGAGTCGCGGCCTCGTTGCTGCGACGGTCCAAGGAAACAAACATGTTCTTAAAGGCATCGACTATACCACGGTGGAACCATCCAATTTGTTTCGCTTTGGCCGCGCTGTCCAACTCGTCCTGGCGCTCCCCGTCCATCCAAATCTCACGCGCATCACCGGCGTTGCGCGCATCAACTGGACGCACCAGTTTGCTGTAGCGTCCGAGTTCATGAACAAGGGAAGCCTCACTCATCACCATGTGCTTGAATTTCGGTCCACTGCCGATGCACCCTTCCCGCGGCGCCAGCGACTGCGTCTGTGCGCCGACATCGCAGCCGCCCTCGTGCATCTACACGCGCTGGGCTGTGTCTATGGCATCTTGCACCCTGAAAAAGTCCTTTTGCATGAAGATGTTAACCAAGGGACGTTGATCGCGAAGTTGAACGTGCTTGCGATGATGGACCAAGCGTTTGTGGAAGTGCCGCAGTGCGCCCATCGCCTTGGCAGCATGCTCGTGCCGTACATCGCGCCGGAATCCCGTCACGAGTCCAAGACATATACGGCTGCAGGAGATGTATACGCCCTCGGGGTGATCATCGCACAACTTCTCACTGGACGAGTGCCGTTCGAAGCGACGTACCACGACCTAGGTTTGGTCCGCGGCGACGTTCACCTCGTCACTCATCCTCGCGCTGTCCCTTACGATATTGATGTGAATGAGGGCCTTCGAGAAGTGTTGCATGCGTGCTGGTCGGTCGATCCGTCCTTGCGTCCGACTGCAGCCGCCGTTTGGGTTGAAATTGCGTCGGCGTTGAGTACTACCACGTAGTATAATTATATTAATACAGTATTAAAATACCAAGGAATAATAGTTTGGACGAGTGCACTTGGCAAATGTATTGACATGGAATGATAGTATTATATACTACGTAGTAGTTAATTAAAACCATCTGAGAAATCTGATTGGCGTTCTTCAAAACATTCTATGATTTTGATTGGTGGATGCCTTGGTCATGCTATTGTACTTCGACAAGGACGGTTGCCATGTCAACAAAGCGTCCAAAGTACCCAACCTACACCATTTAATAACGTAATAACAACATTAATCAATACCAAGGGTATACCCATGCTATGAGCTTTTGAAAGCAACCGACATTAAGTACTCGTACTACGTTGGTCGTCTTTCACCTTGCTTTTTCCGTTTCGCTGTTACTTAATCTTACATTCACGGTCAGTAGACGACGAGCAGTCACCCCTCCTAAAAAGCAGTTTTATACTAGTATCTGCTTGGGATAAATGCGTTTTATTAATCCAAAATGGAGTATAACGTAAACAGCTCTTTTGCAATCGCATTAGTCGACGACCTCCATGTCCGACAGACCAGCACCTACCGCCGGCGCCGCCACTACCTCCACGATGCCTGTCGGTGCTGCCACGATCCGGCCTACCACAACTACCACGGTGCCACCACCCACATGCCTAGGGCTGTGTGTCTTCAACTCAAATGACCCCAAGGACAAGGACTACTGCGGAGTCGACCCCAGCACATCTACATCGCCCGCATCATGCTCCGATGGCATCCGCGTCGTGGTGCAATGTCCTTCCAATACTTCATCATGCCGCGTCCCCAGTAACCTCCCACGCATCCTTGGTGCATCAGTCCCGTCCATCTTAGGTGAATTCGACCGGTGGATCAGCCATGCTACAACCACCCCATCAGTTTGCAGGTCGACTCTTTCTTCCTCCATCAACGAATTTCCCTGTGGCGTGCCACGTTTCACCAATGCGCCGGTGGAAAATCTGGTCACGTCCTCCCCGCGCCCTGTCTCCACCATTGCGTCGGCTCTTGGTCCCGAGGCAGCCGTCTTGGGTCCGTCCTCCCAACCACCGCCGACGGACGCTTCATCTCCCGCGGCCCCCCTCGTCGGGGGCATCGTCGGCGGTCTGGTCGTCGTCGCCTTGCTGGTCTTTCTCTTGATCCAGCGATCCCGTCGCCGTCCGCCTCCTCCTTCTCCCGACTTGGAAGGTGTTCCGTACGCCGCCGCCTCCATCATTTTCACACCCAATCCACCCGCGCCGGTCGTCGCGTCCGCCGCCGGCTCTTCAACGCCGTCGTTCGTTCGTTCCGACATTGACGACGACATCATCCTGGACGCCAATCACTCGTCGTCCGCCGCCTCTCGACTTGTAGCCTCTCGGCCAGACTTGATTGAACTATGGATGCCGTCGCTGGACCAAGTCAAGCCAAACCCGCTCAAAGGAGGCGACCAAGACCTCAAGGTCGTGACGGTCCACGGCCACAAGCTGGTCGTCCGGTCGTCCTCTGCATCCGGCTTCTTGGACGCGGTCGAGTTCATCCGGCGCTTCCGCCATCCCCACATCACGTCCGTCGTGGGCGTCGGGTGTGTGCAGACCTCCCAGTCGGACGTGGCTGTCGTCACCGAGTTCCTGGACCAAGGCAGCCTCGGCGCGTACTTGTCCCGAACAGTAGAATTGGTACCATTAACTCGACTGCGCTTGGCATTGGACGTCGGACGCGCGCTGCAGTACTTGCATGCAACGCACAATCTCGCATATGGCGGCGTACATCCCGACAAAATCCTCGTCTACCGGGACCACGCGGCCTCGTTTGATGAAAACACGATCGTGGTGAGGGCGAAACTCAACGTGTTCCACCTCATGACGCACGAGCAACGCCACCAGCAACGTCACCAGCAACGCCACCTGTACCAACCCAAGCGAACGTGCTGCATCCCTTCGAGCGGCGTGCCCAACTTCATGCCCTTCCTTGCTCCCGAGCGGCGCCAAAGGATAGACCCGCCTACGAAACCGAGCGATGTGTTCGCATTGGCAGTCGTCGTCGGGATGATATGGACAAACGAAAGGCCCCATGCAGCGCTGTACGACCAACAGGGACTGGTCAGAGGTGACGTGTACTTGGCCACCCATCCAGAGGAGACATTCCCGTATCTAGAAGGAAAGCTGACTGGCATGACTCCGTCGCTGAGTCGAGTGCTCTGGCAGTGCTGGCACGTGGACCCTGCAGCGCGACCGACCATAGACGTGGTTGTGGCTACGCTTGAGCAGCTTCTTTCGTAGAAACACACTCGCTTAGTAATACTATTGGCTATACTAGTAATACTAGGTATGGACCATAGACCACAATAGACAGGCAACATGTGGTGGCATGATAGTACAGTATCGGCAAAGGACATGGATACGACGCTGTAAACCGTATCCTATGATCCAGGAGGTTCTTGTATCAAGAGTGTTCTCGTTTGAAGGACAGCATGGTCGGGGTAGTAATTGAGTACACCTGTGACGAGGAACAGTCTCATGTATTGTAGTGTTATCCCCACGCGACGTCGATGCTTCCGTCAACAGAGCACAGGCGATGCACGAGGACATTTAGAAGCGGAGCTTCTTGAAGAAGAAGGACACGCCGGCGGCCTTCTTCTCCGACTTGGTCGCGCCTTGGTTCAAGTAGCGGTCTTCGAACACCTTCTTGATGATCTTGCGGGATTCGATGCGGGCTTCGGGGGTCGCCAGCACTTCGTCGTCCACGACCTTCTTCAATTCAATGTCGGCCACGTAACGGGTGGGCAGGATGTGGTTGTAGTTGACGTATTTCACGAACGGCTTGATCTTGGAGCGCTTGGTCACCTTCTTCTTGCCCATCGAGCGAGTGATCTTGCGGGGGTAGCGGTCGATACCGGCCACGATCGCGTGCCCAAACTTGCGGTCGCCGTGGCCTTCGTCGTACGTCTTGACCACGATGGCCTTGCGGCCGGCGTATCGGCCGTTCAACAACACTACAACTTTTCCGTTCTTGACACTATACACACAACATGTCCATATCATCACCACCATCATCATCTTTCTTGTCCGTCATGTGCTGGCGACTTACATGCCCATGCTTGCTCTGTGAATGTCAGAGGTTGTTCCTGTTTAATGCGCTCCACAAGGGCCAGCCAAAAAACCCTCCAACCAATCACTCCTCGCGTCCAATCACAATCGAGCTATTCTATGCATTGCCAGAGGTTTTCCCTCCAGAAATACATGTTTTCGTCGCCATCCACTGGCGAGGCGGGGGTGGCTTTTCAGCCAATAAGAGTCAAGAAACACTCTGTCCACCAATCACAGCGAGGAATGCAATTCCCGTGATAATGCCATGAGTGCACATACACTGGATGAGGGGGAATGGCGAGCAGGTGAGGTCATGGGCGAGGCATGCATCTATGTTGGCCACGTCAACTTCACGTTCTGAGATACATGGTATGTGGAGTTGATGCAGCAGACGCGGTGTGCCTGTGGGTGGTACGTGTATGTACAAGTGCAGCGAACTCATACTCCATGGATGCGTCCGTCATGCATGGGCCAGCCTCCTCCCCTGACACGATATCAGCAGGATCTTCATCGCATTTGTGGACAAGTGTACATATAACCCTTTGAATCGTCATGTGTGGTTGGTGCAGTAAGTCATTGTAAGTCCAGGGATCCGTGCAATGAAATAGGGTTCACAGGGCAATTCGCTAGAACGGCCTCCGTCGGACGAGGCCTTGGCCTAGCCTACCTCGAATGCTTAATGCGAGTCAGTTTATGTCTACGACCAGCTTGTTCTTCTTCTTCTGCCCACTGATGACAAGATCCTGACGTCCACGCTTGCGCGGCGGCGGCATGTTGCCTCTCTTTGCCACCGAGTTCGAATTCGTAAGAATGCATTTCATTGGCTAAAACTCGAGAAATAATCTTGGGTTGTTCGAATCATCATCCCAACTCCACCACAGACTTTGAGAGATGGGAAAGAAGAAGAGGCGGGATGATGGTGTGGAGGAGACCAAGATCGCGCGCATCTACTGCTACTACTGCGAGCGTGTGTTCGACGACGAGAAGGTGCTGATCATGCACCAGAAAGCGCGGCATTTCAAATGCAATTACTGCAACAAGAAGCTCTCGACGGCCAGCGGCATGGTCGTGCACATTGCCCAAGTGCACCACGAGACGATTCTTCATGTTCCGAATGCCAAACCCGGGAAAGATTCCGTGGAGGTCGAAGTCTACGGCATGGAAGGCGTGCCGGGATACAGCTCCACCAAGACGCCCGCGACCACCAACATCATCGACGACCCTGTCAAGCGCATGCGGGTTGAAGGCGGCCTGATGCCTCCGCCTCCACCCATGGTCATGCAACCACAGCAGATGATGCATACCCCTCCTCCTCGACCTCCTCCCATGATGTTTCCCCCACGACCTCCCATGATGCACATGCCTCGTCCTCCAGGATACCCGCCGTTTGCGGGTGCAGGTCCCGGCGGCGTCGGTCCGCCTCCAATGCTGCGTCCGCCGCCGCCGCCCCGCGTCCTTCGACCTCCGTTTCCGGCCATGGGTGGGCCTCCGCCGCGTCCGGGCTTCCTTCCCTCAGGCCCTCCACCGATGGTTCCATTCCCACCTGGCATGCGACCGCCGCCCATGATTCCGTTTCCTCCCGGCATGACCCCGCCGCCGCGCCCCCCTCCTCATGCACTTCCGACGCCGCCTCTTCCCAGGTATCATCTACATCTTCCTTCTCCATGATTCACATACCGATTGTGCTTAGTCCTCCTCAACCTCCATCCCCCGAGCATGTCGAGCCGCTTCCGTCCCCTTCGCATGACTCGCTCGACCTGCCGCTTCCATTCACCCTGGCGCCACCCCAGCCGGGCATAATCCTCATCTACCCCGAAGATGACGTTTCCATGGAAGAGAAGCGCGCGCATTTGCCCAAGTACCGACCTATCCCACAGAAATAACACCTATTTCTCGTTGCTAAGCAACTCTCGATATGTATATTCAACCCCCGATAGTACTACTAGTAGTACCCTTCACAAGACAAACTACCTACGGAGTTTCGGGGTTACTACTACTAGTATTATTAAAAATCCCTAGACTTCGTGTGCTTCTGGCTTGGGTTGACTGGGGTACCCGCCGTAGCTGGAGCAGTACTTTTCAAACATCTTGATCGGGTTCGTATCCGTTCTGGTGCTCAACGGCGTCAGCCCCACTGTCCACGGCGTACTAGTAGTAGTAGTAGTATTACTAGTACTAGCCCCCCCCACACAGTCGACATCTTCATCTTCGTCTTGCATCTTGGCGTAGTTGGTGACGCTAGTACCCATCAGCATACTAGTAGCGACCGGAGACTGCACCATTGCAGCAGCATTGGGGTAGTTCCCGCGGGACGACGCGCGCGGCGACGGCAGCGGCGACGGATGGAGGAGGCCGTCGTACATGTGCAGCAGCATGTGTGGGGTCGAGCTGTTCGCTGGACTTTGCACTGGACTGGTGGCTATTACGTCCGAGCAGTCATCCGTAGACCGCAAGTACGACCTGTGCATCCCGTTAGTTGGTGTAAACTGTTAAGAGAGAGGTACCTTCGGGCGACTCGGATGCGATCTTTGGCCGAGAGAAGGTTGGAAGAGGTAGGAGTAGTAGCGTCGTCGTGGGACGGTGATGGGTTTTGCTCGACAAAGAACCCCGTGAGACTCATGACGAGCACGAGACTGGGCATCGTGAGCGGCGTAATCACGAGCATCGACACGATCGGGAACGTCAACATGAGAAAGTACATCCACGGGAGGACGAGGGGGTCGTGGGCGACGACGAGCGTGAGCCAGACGAGGTAGAATGCGTGGCCGGTGGTGGCAAACTGGAAGAGGCGCAAGAGGAACGCGGGACTGCGCAGCCAGAAGCGCGCGTCGTGGGAATGGAGCTGTCGGTGGCACAGCACGGACATCTGCATGCGCACGAGGGCGCGAACGAGTTGCGCGACCACTTTGAGAGACGGCGGCTTTCTACAGCAACTTTATCAGCAACAAGTGAACGAGTGATGCAGTGGGATACCGTGGGGCGTGTCGGGGGGGCGATACAAGCGCCGTGGACGACGGCGGCAGCATGCGCTCAATGTCGTCCAAAGAGAAGATGCGCAGGCGGTCCTTGACGATGCCCTTGAGGATGCGCAGGGTCTTGATCATAATGACAAAGTTCATCGCGCACAAAAGCGCAGCGAACGCCATGTACAGGTAGATGGACGTGGCGTGGAGCAGCCCCGTGGCCATGACGAGCAGCACGAGGATGAAGAAGGCGCTGTAATGGAGTTTGGTGAGCGTCGCCAGCATATTCCGTGTGCACAGCGTGTTGAACCGGCCAAAGTCCACGGCGTGCGACGCGCGGACGCTCAGGTTGAAGATGCGCTGCATCTCGGCCGGGTTCTTGTATAGGTACCCTGACCGGTACTGGCACACGTTGTACGCGAGCACTTCGAACGACTTCCACAATGCAAACTGCTTGACCAGGTTGAATCGGAACGACCATCCTTCCCGCTTGTATCGCTGTCGAAGGAAGTAGTACATGCGCGAGCCGTTGACAAAGTCGTAGCCTGTATATGCATTGATGGTGAGCGGTTCAATGGGGAGGATATGGGTGTTGTACCAGAGTGTTGCCGCTGGTACCGTCGATGGGACATGCGACCGCCGCCCCCGTTCGTCTGAGACGATGCGTTGTACCGGGACGGGGACTCGAGGGGAAAGTCGTCCGCGGTGTCGTCGTTCCGCGCGGCGTCGTTGGGGTGCTGTCGGTCGTACAGGTATCGCGGGACGACGGTCGCAATGACGATGAGCACCACCATGATGCAGATGTAGTACACGGCCGTCATGAACACGACATAGTGGAAAAATTCCTGGAAATGGAGCAGTTGCGACGGATTCAGCCCCGACACGACGAAACTCAGTTGGTTGATCACGCCGCTCGTGTTGAAGGCAAAGATGCACTAGTACACAAAGATATATCATCAGCCAAGGATAGAGGAGAAGGACGAGTACAACGATGGGGTACCATGGAAATGACGCCCATGACCATGAGCTCTTCAAAGAATCGGTTCGCGACGCGCATCATTTGAGGACATGTGATCTTTCGCCGAATGAACTCGATGACGACGTCCATGATGAAGGACAAGAGAACGATGATTGCACAAAGCAGGGCCGCGTACCCCAGATGGGACCCAATGCATTCCGTGTTACCCACCCCCAGGAACGATTCCTTCGAGCTGCATGTAGGGTACCCCGTCGCACCTTCGCCGCTACCTCCTCCCATGGTCGTGATGTGCCCGCCAAATGTAAAATGGTCGACCAGATATATTTTGTTTCCGTTTCATATGAATATGTTTTAAATTTTGTATTTTCACTAGACATATGTATTCGAGTTAATAGTATCCTTAATAATTTCAATAACTGTCGTAACTCCCTCAATATTACGATACCAGGCGCCAAGTACGGCCTACCACGTCTCCACGTGCGAAGTAGCGCCATTACGTCCTCGCGGAGAGATCATCGCCATGATGGGTATGTGTGCGCTTCCGTCGACTGGAAGCATGTTTATGCAACCCGGGACTCCTGTGTCAAGGTCTACCCAACTCCGTCATCATGCTGCACCCGTCAAGCGTCCAGCAACACGTCGTTGAGACTTCCATTGACACGTTTCGTTGAGGAGATACAATTGAAGGGGTGTTCTACATGGAACACGACTACTCTACAGGCCTCCCCCGCTCGCGCCATGTTCCGTCAACACTCGCACCGTCGCTGGACTATGCGTCATTTCGAGAGCAGTGCGGCCATCGCCCGCCTTGAGATCTGCCGGCACCCCAGCTTTCAAGAACGCGTACACGGTTTCCGTGTGTCGCCTCTCACCGCCCCATGCCGCTCGATGAATGGGTGCGTATCCGTCTTCATGCTGATGGAGGGGATCGAGTCCGTGTGCGATGAGTATCTTGGCGATCTCAGCACGTCCTTGGAACCCTGCTCCATGCAGTGGAGTGTACCCGTCCTTTTCTCCAATAGTCACGTCCACATTCGTGCTCGAGAGCAAGTAGGTCACGACCCCCTTTGCCCCAAACAGTACAGCGCGCATCAAGCAGGTCTGTCCGCCCTCAGGGCCAATCTCGTTCAAAACGTCGGGCGCCACTTTCAAGATGGAAACCACTGTCTTCACATCGTTCGAGGCACATGCTTTGTGGAACGCCACGTCAGGCGCCGCCGCCGCGACCGACGCCAAGGCAGCACACATCCACGCATGCCAGACACGCATTTCGTTTGTTCTTTGCGTTCGACTTGTTTCGGATATGATTCACTGTCAACTCATCTGATTTTTAAATATTATAAAATATTTTAGTAGTAGAATGGAGATATCAAAATATCTTTAGAAATCCTATCACTATTAATACTATTCGAAGTAGTAAGTACTACAAAAACCGTGAAAGTAATATTGGAAATCCTTGGATTCTGTGGTAAATTATTCTAATAATATTCGTTTCTAGTTCTCTGACTTTTGACTACAGTATGCTACAAATTCTACGTTTTCTATCACTATGCTAATTTCTATGTTCGTTCTCCCGTGACCTACTATTGCGCGGTGGCGGCGATGAATTGCGCAGCCGCGAGCCATTCGTTCTCCATCTTCACATGAGGGATGTTGAGCATCAGCGTCCCATCTAGGTCGTCTTCCACGACTTCCCCTTCTTCCTCCTCGCCCTCATCGTCGTCCAGGAGTTGGTGGGTCGATGGGAACTGCTGCTGCATGGTCACGGCCGTGTCCGACGACAGCAACACGTCGAGCACGCGGATGAGCTCCGCCGCCTTGTCCGCCGACTTGGCGCTGCGGAACACTTGCGCCAAGTGCGCTTGGGCGCACAATCTCGCGACGACGTTGTTGGCGGTCGCATCGTGGTGGGGGCGGTCGTTCAGGACGAGCTGTGTAATGTGGAGGAACACGTCGAACGGCAGCTTCACGATCAGAGACATGGTGGACGCGTCGTACGGGTACCGACTCGCAATCGCGTGGACACACAGCGCCATCATGCGATCCGTGCTTTGGTTGCGCAGGCACTTGCGGATTTCCACCACTTGAAGCAACATGTGGACTGCGTCGTCGCCACTGCCGGTGTGGGCAAGCGTCTCGAGCAAGGTCGCGCACCGCGAGGTGAGACCCACGTGCATCTTGAGCACGCGCGCCGCGCAGTAGAGCAGCGCCACATTCGACGCATTGATGACTACGGAGCCACCCGTGTACGCGTAGATGCACGCGAGTTCGAAGGCGGCGGCGCCCCCGGGAAAGTGCGCGTACTTGAGTAAAGTGACGGACGATGCCGAGGACTCGGACAGGGAAGGGAGCTTGGTGCGGAGTTCGGGGCACGCAATCAGCATGGGAAACTTGTGCAGGTTGAACTGCGTGCCTTCGACCACCACGACCAAGTTGCACGTAGACCGACGCCGGGACCACTCGGGGTACTCGCACAAGGACGGGACTCCCACCGAAGCCGCCGAATGTTGGGCCGAAGGAGGAGTCTTGGGAGTTGCGGTTTGCTTGAGTTTCTTGGAAGGCGGTTTGACAGCATTCACCGGACTGGGCAACTTGCGTTTCTTATCGATCGGGAAGGTCTTGGTAGACTTGATATCCAACGCGGAAGAAGCGGCAACAACATTAGGGGTGGCCTGGATGACCGGTTGTGCTTGTGACAAATGCATCATCGTGGAGGACGACGGAGCGAGGAAGGTGGATGAAGTTGCCATGGAGGAAGGGACAGGGCAGGCATGAGAAAGGTGATCCATGGATAACGATGTGTGGAGGGAGTCAGGCTCGTCTGTCGCGCGCTTGGCCTTCATGCTGCGGCTTTGGGACGAGACAAGGTTGCGGCAATGACAGCACGTGGCACGGGTACTGTGCAGACAAGACTCATCCTTGGGGCAACCAAGGCGCTTGCAGCTCTTGCCACTACCTTCTCGTCTCACTCCGCACTTTCCACCTTCATGTTGCCCGCATCGACCGTCACATGTGCAATGCATGCACTCGCCAGGCCGTTGAGAGCAGTTTGGCAACGAGCACGACTTGCGCAACTTCCGCGACGTCGACAGGACTTTGTCGTACGAGTGATGCAGGAACGAAGTCGAAGCGTTGTGGGACGTCGAGTCTGGATAAGCGTAAGATTCACGCAGACTTCAAAGTTTATGTGTGTCCATCTACATACCGAGGGTGGACGGGAAGCCTGCAGGTGTGCCGGCGGTTGCGGGTTCATTGAACTGGGGTGCCATGGTATATGTACAGGGGTTTATGCACGACAACAAGGACACGAAGGAAGGTGCGGCGGCGGCGGCACCAAGATGTTGGTCGAGAAACGAAAAATGACCCACATGGTGGTCGCAACCCACGTCACGCGACCAGGCAAGTATACAAATCCCAAATCAAATTGCAAGCTACTTTTCCTGGCCTGTGATTGGCGGGTTGCAATCGGTATCCGGCGTAGAAAATACGATTCAGATCCAGCGAATCATCGTCGAGGAACCACTCCTGGTAGGGTTGGGGCAGTGGGAGTATCTCGTTGAATCTGGCGCAGATGATGTGCAAGCGCCAATCACATGGGTTCACGTTGGACCAAGCATGAGGACTTCCGACGACACGGACATCGTCTTGCATTTGGTAGGCATGAAACGATGAGTCCAGGGCGATGGCGCTCCGTTCGCGTGACTTACGCTGGAAGGAAGCAGTAGCCTTGCGCCTTGGAGGGAGAAAAACTGTGCAACTCACAGCATTCCTGTTCAAAGGTCATTCTCATATGTAAGGTAAATAATATAGTATTTACTATGCATTGATACAGTATACATATGTATGAATGGGTTTATGTATGATAGAAACAAGGTCAATATTGCTTTGATGTTGGAAAGCATGAGATGAACATAAACGTTGGAACACTGAAAATTTCGCACACAGTACAGGTACTTTTGTATCGAGCCACCATGTGGCTTTGAGGAGAATGCTTCTCAGTGCCAAGAAATCACCCCATTCATTCTTTGTCACACATCGAAGGTGAATCGCAACCTCATCTAACGTCACGAAATGGGAGGCGTCTACGTTGTGAATGTCCCGTGCAGCATACACTGCGTAGTACCTCAAAGTACTCCCTTGGACTGCCCGCTTTCGTGGAAATTTCATCTCGACAGATCAAGTTCGATTTGTCATTTGCTTTGACTTGCATTTCATATGCAAAATCGAAGTTTACTGCATTCCGCGGAGTTGTTCTAATGGATACTGGAAGTACAGTATTTCGTCGGATAAACCAACTCACTTTTACTCCTAGTACTACACTACATACGTAGTACTGTATTGTACTAGTTACGTAGTATTAATACTAACGTTAGTACCAGTTAGTATTAATTTGTACTACTACGTAGTAACGGCTACTAACAGTAAGTAGTACAAGTATTTAATAGGTTGTGAAGCTGTGGAATCTGGAATGACTGGTTGGCTCGTAGTACATTATTGTCTGTTCTTTGGGTAGAATATGTATCCTGTAGTTCAGCACAGTGTATGGCCGACGGTCGTTGTGGGGTTGACAGTGGCAAGCAACACTGAAACAAGCCAGTCGTGGACTCAGACGAGGCGAAAGGCGCACCTTATTCGTGAGGTGTGGTCTGGAGGTCGTACAGTATGTACTGTAGTTACAGCTATCGCTTGGGATCCTAAACACAGTGTGAAAGCCCACAAACAAGTACGGAGTGGGGATTACCGTTTTACCTGCTAACGTTATTGCGTTCATCATTGTACTGCAAAAAGCGACGAAGTCTGGGCACTTGAAATTGGTGCTGATTTCATAGTTCAACTTTGTGTCAATGAAATTTTTAGTGGATGGAGCTTTGGATACGACGACAAAGACACTCCAACCAGCGCGAATGATGCATTGCCACTCTACAGTACGGTGAATCGCTCTACCAACAATGGGTGGCCATCGTCATGCTGATGTATTTAACGGGAAGGTTGTCGAGATACACCAGGAATTGAAATGTGCCGCCTAGGAGCCAACTTGCGCCACCGGTTTAGTGTACAGTGGTGCCATATGTACCTGATTGAAGGGCTTCGTTAGATTTACACGATCACATTGATTCACTCATAATTAGCACCTCAAATGTGTACCAGTACTGGTACTGCACTCAAACCACAGTCGACTGCTTGCCCAACTTCTCCGCGTCTTCGATCTCAGCTAAGATGATATCGGCGGTGATCACAGTGGACGCAATTCCCGACGCAGGTCGATTGGCCACGACGGAGACAAGGGCGGCAACCCCCGCAACGCATCCCACGAACAACCCCAAGACCAACACGTAGCCCCCCGCAGCAGAGGTAGAGAGTTGCGGTGCATGGACCGCCACGGTGACTTTCTCGTTCGCTTCATCATCGTTCTCAGTGAAGGAGGCCAATGTCAAGTCGAATATGACGTCGTCAAAGAGTTGTTCGAGTTCGCCGGGATTCATGCGAGCCAAGAGCTGGCGGACGTCGTGCTTGACCTTCGAATGGAACGCTTTATCAAAGGCCCATCGACCTCGAATGAGGTCTTCCACGCCGTCCACAGCTTCGTTATATTCGAGGGTGCTGAGAGGATGGCCTTTGACGTGCTCAAGGTTCAAATTTGCCAGTAGCTTGGCGAACAACTCGCGGCCATACGGGGACACCTGTTGAATGTCGTCGACCGGGGAAGTTGCGTTGACAGCGTACGACTGGTTCGCCTCTGCCACATGCGAGGAGGTCACCGAGGCGGCGGCCACTGCGGCCACAACCAGCTTGGTCAACAGCATGAAGATCAGGCGATTCTGTGGATAAATCAGCCAATCACCTGTAGGACATACACGTTAAATAGGCAAACATAGGTTATTTCGGTCAATGTCGTGGGTACGTTGACGTTAAAGACAATTCCAGCGATTGTGTCGAGTCTACTTAGTAATATATTCTATCGTTACAATAATACACAATGGCTGGCAAGCCAGAGAGACAAGACCAACATACGTGGCATTAAGAGATTACTCGAATGTGATGTCAAATAGATAAATCACTGGGGCGGAACTTAGACGGACACAACTGACGGGGAGTCGGTGGACACTTGATGCACATCTTCGTCCTTGTCAGAGGGGGAAGCAGGAGCATCCTCCTTCGGCTCTTCAGCGGCGTTTTCCACAGCTTCAATCTCGTCCACTACATCTTCGGCCAAGACAGATGCGTCCGAGGCACCAGCAGACGAGGCCGAGCGAGTCTTCTTCACTGCAGCAAACGCAACAGCAGCGACCGCCAAGCAACCGATAAGACCCGACCCGACAATCACAACATCGTTGTTTTCGTAGTCGAACAAGCGGGAGCGTTCGTGCGCTTGAGTGAACTTGATGGCGTCGCGGGAGGCGTTTTGGGCGGTACCGTTAGTTCCGTTGTGAAACACGATCACGTTGTTGGTCGAGTTAACATGGGTCGCATTGGTTCCATTGGTGCGGTTGAGGGCGGCAGCGGCGACGGCGGCAGATGTGGCGAAGAGGGCGAGTTTCATGTTGATGCAGGCGGGCGAAATGGGAGAATGGCTCGAGGGAAATGATTTCTATAGAGCCCAGATTTTTCATCAGCCAATCCATATCACTCATAGAAATGTCGCAGGCATGGATGTCGTGTTCAACTCGTATGATTGGCTATAAATATACCATTTCAGCGAATTAGAGAGCCGGATTTCACCATGTGGCAGTCAGAGACAAACCCACAACACGATATGTGTCGACTGAAAGTACGAGCACTTTATGATAATACTCGAGTACATTAAACATAATGTATCACATCTGTGCATATTGCACCCGCAAACAATAACGATTCAGTTTACAGTTACCGGTAGAGGCGTTCTACTTCGAGATCCTTACACGAGTATGTATACTACAACAACTGTATGTATTAATACTACTAGGAATACTATTAATAACTACTAGTACGTAGTAATAATATGATTGATTTATCAAAAATGAAAGCAAAATTCAAAACGATTAATGTTACGGCTCGAGGGTCGACCCTAGACAGAGACAACGGCGGGGGAGTCAGTTTTGATGTCTTCGACTTCGACGTCGTCGTCCTTTTGGGCCGCGGCAATATTCTCAGCAGCTTCGATCTCATCCACGACGTTGTCGGAAGCGGCTTCAGCGGCCGCGGCAGCGGACTTCTTCTTGCGTGCGCCGATGACGGCAAGCGCCGCAGCGACGGACAAGATGCACCCACCGAAGGCCGAGCCCACGTACACCACGTCGGAACGAGACAAGCCGGTGAAGGTTTCGTTTTGCGATGCGAAAGTCACGACATCGCTGGCGGCGGTCTTGTTTTCAGACAAGGCGTCGACGTCAATTTCGTCACCGAACGTCTTCTTGAACAGCTTCACGGTGAGTTCGAACGCGACGTCGTTGAACAATTGCTCCAATTCTTCAGGGGTCATGCGCGCCAACAGGCTGCGAAGCGACGCGCGGAGCTGCTGCTTCACCGCCTTGGACTTGCCGATAGTCTTCCCCGTCAACAAGTTTTCCAACTCGTTCACGGCATTGTTGTATTCGCCGTCGTCCAACGGCTTGCTGTCGATGTGTTCGATTTTCAACTGCTCCAATAGCTTGGCAAACAACACACGGCCGTACGGGGTCGCGGCGGCGGCGGGAAGCGACGAGTTATTGGGCACAATCACATTGGACGAGTTCGTGGTCGAGTTGTGGGCCGCGCCAGTGACGGCGAGGACGGCAAAGGCGGCGAAGACGGCAAGCTTGGCGAACATGATTGTGAAAATGGGATTGTGACGCTGATAAAAGGCGTGCTATCAAAGGAACGGGGGGCCAATCAAATCGCAGGGATTTAGATTGGGGTGAAGAGCCAGGGAGGAGTGACACACGACCACACGTTATTCATCTCTGACAAGGCGAAATGCGTTGCTTATTCATAACATGCAAATCGCAGCGTTATTTAGCAATTAACCATGGAAGCAATAAATAATAGTAGTAGTTTTGAAGCCACGTACAATACTATAGAACTGTGAGCGATGTGTGCATATCTGCTGCAGTTTGAAGTGCTCTATAGTCTTGGTCGTGTATGTCAACCGCCCTGAAGACCTGTCTTGCCATTACCGTCCTTCCATAATAAAATGAAAGCTGTATCAACATGTTTACATAGATCAAGTGTGTCCTCTAGGCCGAGAATAAAATTTCAACCAATCGCATTTGACGATTTGTGTCGCCATGTTGGGGGATTGCGTGGGGAATTGAGATCTTTGATCGACTGCTAAGTAAAAGCGAGCGGACGTAAAGTATAAGATGGTGGCAAAAGACTTCAAGCAATACACTGTAGTACAGTCGTCTATGTCGGATGCGTAGATAGTGGTGAAATGCTGTTGGGTTCTGTATGCTGCTGTACTGAGCATTCTTCAATTCTCCTTTACCATATTGTAATTTAGCCAATAGGAATTCAGGACTCAAAAGATATTGCACTCAAAAATCTCACACTATATATTACAGTCCATACAAATTTGAAGTGACATCGACAGTAGCACTGTAGTAATAAAATTGAGTTTTCTCCAATCAAATCCTAAATTGAACGTGTAGACTGTACAGTACCGTACTTCGTATGTTAAAGCGATCACGATGTTAACGTAGAAAACCAATTTAAGAACACTTTTTCCGAGGCGCTGCCGTGGAAAGAACGAAGCTCATCATGGATGCATCAGAATCAAATTCCGAAAAGTGCTGGATGAAGCCAAAGCGGAGTTGATTCATTGGACATTCAAATAACCGTGTTTCAAGGTCGATTTGACAGACATAAATACCATTTTCGAAGCAAATGTACTCAAAAAGTGAGAACCAGTTAATGGTGCACACTATTATCTTAACGTTTGTATACCCATTTGCATATTTTTTGTGTGGTTATGTTATGCAATTTCAGGAGTAAAATATTAAATCCGAACAGGTAATGCAATTATACAGTTGTGAGTAACTTCAGTGCCATTTTTGAAGTTGTGCAATTGGAGGTGCAACATCACATGCAAAGATATTTCATGTAATGCGGTGAATTACACTACAACTTCCACAGCGTTCTTGCGGTTGGCTTTGACCTGGCCATTAGGCAAGGGCTTGAGGTCCATCGTGGCAGCGACACGGGCCCACCTCGACACAACGGCAGACACCACCAGCGCCGCTCCACGCTTCTTCTTTCGTTCGGCTACCATCGCATCCATGCGACTCTTGGCTTCTTGGCGATCCTTCTTCGTTTTGTCTAGTTCCCACAAAAGCGCCAAGGTGAGAATTCTCCCCCCCACGTCGATCGTTTTTCGCGTTGATTTCTTCGTTTTGGCTTGTGATGACAGGCGCAAGATCTCGCTCCGAATGACGAAGCGGCGCTCCAACCAATTCGCTTGCAGG